TGGTTTCAAATTTCATGCTGGATGGGGTCCTGGCAGCACACCGTAAACGAAGAGAGACCAGCGCCGCCAATATCATGACGGTTGTCCTTCGCAGTGGTGGCGACGAGGACCACCGTACCAAGACAAATGGAATCACGCCGATATTTGCAGTTGACGCCAAGAACCAGCGATGTCTGCAGTACGACGAAATGACTCCATTGCAAAGCGACCACTACCTGGCACTTGACCCAGCCATCCCCGACGAATTGTCCACCGAGTTCGAAGTTCGATCCGACCTCATCGACGCGCATATTGATATTTGCACTCCAGAGGTATTGGCGCTGTGGTCGGAAAGTTTCGACTACGAGCTCCCCCGCAGAAATTTCCTTCACGGTGTTTTGAAAGATTGGGAGCTGAACGGCAAGATGATTTACGCAGAGATTTTGGAGGATGGGTACGCGGCCCGTGCAAGCAACCTTCAGATGTACGATGCCATCAGCCGTGATATTTTGGGACGATGGACCTTCCCATTCATTCCAGAGAATAATCTTGTGCCGAAACAGACGTACCAGCGTCATGCAAACGGACTCGTGATGGAGCACAACGTTTCTCATACACACGACGCCCGCATGGCCAACACCGTCATTGGCAGGGACACCACCATTGGACCGGGGTCCAAAATATCAAACTGCTTTATCGGCACAGGCTGCAAGATTGGCGCGAACGTGGTACTGGATGACTCGGCAGTCTGGGATAACACCACAATTGCAGAAGGAACGAGAATATCACGCTCTATTATTGGCGACTGGGTATCCATTGGCAAGAGCTGCACATTGTCCCCTGGTTCCCTGGTAGGCTCTGGAGTTCGGATTGACGACAACATTGCGCTGAGCAAGGGCAGTATCTTGTCAGCTCTGACACTCTCCGGAGAGCCGATTTCCAGAGACACAAAGCTTCTCGGTGCCAGCACAAATGCCGCTGCCTTTGCTGACCTCGACGAAGACGATTTGGACGAACAGGACGCCTCGCGTCTGCAAAGGTCGCTCATCTACTCACTTGCCGATTTCAACATTTCCACGTCGTCAATTTCCACACTGTCCTCTGATGTGGACTCGGACGCCGACGAAGACGGCCGCTTCTTGTCTCCCGGGGCCGCCTCCTCGTCGCGGTCGCGACTCTCATCGTTTGCCTCGGACGACTCCACCGGCAAGCTGTCGTTCCACGCTGACGCGGTACACGGCCTTTTGGACGCACTCCGTGGCGAGACGAGGGATTTTGACGGCGCCAAGCTCGAATTCATGGGGCTGCGTCTTGCCAACGACGCCTCCGATGGCATGATGCGAAAGGCCGTGGCCACGGCCTTTGCTCGCCGCGCCGCCGAGCTTCTGACGCTGGAGCACGGCTCCCTAGAACCCACCAAGGCGGCAGAGAAGGCGCTGACCTCGAAGAAGGGCGCGACGGCCTTTATCGACGAAGTCGGCGTCGGCGGCGAGGAGACAGAGCAGGCCGAGTACATTCTCGCTACGCAAAAGGCACTCCGGCAGATTAAGAATCCCGAGCAAGCCAAGTTGAGTACCCTGCTGGCGGCAATGCTTCAGCAGCTGTATACCCTGGATATCCTGGAGGAGGATGGCATTCTCGGTTGGTGGCAAGATGAGAGGGCAGCCGAGGGCGATGGAATGGCTGCGCTAAAGGAGAATTGCAAGGTCTTGATTGAATGGTTGGAAAACGCCGAGGAAGAAGACGACGAAGACGACGACAGTGACGACGAGTAAGTGGACATCTGTGCAATTGGGAAATGTTGCGGCCCCAAAAACCCTATACAGATGACATGGGTCGTCTAAAAGCCAATGACGAAAAAAAAAACTAAAAAAAACTGGGCAATATAATCCTCTAAAGGCGGTTTGCAGTAATACGCATTGTGAAAAAGCCGTCTAATCACATGCCCCGAGCACCTCTTGCAGATGAAGACAGTACGCCCCTTTAGCAATCATAGACGCATTTACTACTCTAAAAAAAAATTGTAATGCGGAAGCAAACTATTGTAAACTGGCGTATTATACGCGTGTGACTCTTTTCCTGTATTATCCCCTGATTCCGCTATATGCTCCTTTCAGAGGCCGATGGTATCGAAGCACTCCTTGACGCCCGGAAAACAAAATAACAAAACCTCGACGCGCCTCTTTCCCTTGGCCGATATACATGAAATCCCGAATAAAACATGCCTTCATTTCCCCTACTAGTAGTAGTTTTGCAGGTCGGTGTTGTTCGCAGCCTGCCCTCCGCCCATGGGGCGTCCACCGCCTCGACCACCTCCACGGCCGCCCCCTCGACCTTGATACGATCCTCCACGACCGAGAGATGCTTTCGGACCTGTTGGCGGAGCCTGAGATTGCGGCTGGTTCAGATGTGGGTGGGCGTCGTCGTAGCCAACTGGTTGGCCATATCCGGGTTGCTGATTCTTAGGCTCGACATCGTCCAGGGATCGGTAGTGATAACCAGCACCTCTGCCTCTCCCACCACCCCTGCCTGCTCCTCTTGCACCGCCGCGGAAGCCTCGAGAGGGATTAGCTCTGCCACGACCTCCCCCTCGGCTGCCTGAATGGAAACCCCTTGATTCATTACGACCACCGTATTGTCCGTGTGTGCTGTTAGCAACCCAGCCGTCATCGCCAACACGTTTTCTCTTGGGATGCTTGTTCGCAAATAAACTCTCGTACTCGTCCTTTCTGGGGTCTTCGTCCTCGACACGCAGAATGACCTTTTCGCCTACTGTAGTTTCGAAAACAAAAGATTGCCCAGCTGCCAACGGCTGCCAGTGCTCAATTCTGCCAGCATCCACAGGTCGCGCGCCTTTCCTGAGGGCTAGTACCACTAATGGCACAGGATTGTCTGTATGATATGCCGCTGTGGATGGCACAGGTCGCACGCAGGCCGCCCAGATGCTGTTATCGTAACACGCGGTGCCTGTTACCTCCCACAACATCTTGCTCCCCATGCCACCAACTTTGTCGAGGATGCTCGAGGGGCAGGGCCGCGGACAAATCAGGATATTGTTGGCATGGATCTTGAGCTCGTTGCCGGCCAGCCCTGATGGTAATTGGACAAGCTTCATGAGCTTCTTGCTATCCTCGGAATTTATCATGTAGCTCGTGAAGAACACGGTCTTCTTGATCTGCAGTCTGTTTGGTCGTAGGTGCATCGGTTGCCGCATAATGGAACTGTTGTGTAACTTGATCATGTGTTGCACTTCGGCAACCTCCATGACTGGATCCAACGTGGTTGAAGTGTCAGCTACTTGGATTACCTCGGCGTCGATAGGGCCACGGGTTGGGGAGGCGTTCTGTCGACGGTTGTACTCGCTGAAAAACTCGCGGAACCCATTCGTGTGCTTTGGCCGGTCCTCATATACTCTAATTTCAGTAGCCCCCTTGTAAGTCTCCATGAGTGCATTGAGAAACAGCTGCTTGAAGTGCATGGTATTTTGAAATCGCTGATTCGTCGGGCTGACTTGCGGCTTGAGACAAACGATGTCGAAGTCGAGACCCTTGGCGGCAACCATCCTTTTGACCAGTTCGCTGAATCCCTTCTCGGAGCGACCAGTCAACAAGACGCATAGAGCGTCAGGCTGCTTGATGGTCAGCTCAACAAGTTGCACGATTTTTTCATTCCACCATCCGTCCCATGCCCGAGGCTCTTCTTTCTCCAGACCCTCGCCCGTTGCGGCGAGAATACGGTTATCGTGCCACCATCCGCCGTTAGTGAAGGCTTCCTGAGTAGCCAGGAGTCCTATTGTCTGACCAGCCCAAAGAGCCGGGTTGGGCAGCGGCGTTTTGAATACTGGAAACGAATGATTAGCATGGCCGGCTTTGCGCTAGACGGCCGACGCAGACCGTACACGGGGGAGCACATACACGTATTGTCGAAGTCGTAAACGTGGAGGGCCTTGATTTTGTCGGCAGCTGGTCCATGGTCAGTGAAACTGGCTCATCACACCAAGCTCGCGATGCTACCGGGGAGCTTACGAGGCAGAGTTTTGTTTAGACAGGACCATCGACCCATGGCAGTAATGGTGTATGGGGAACCGTTGGAAGCGCCATGGTACACGCTGTACGCCGAGGCCATGGCGCTTGACGGAGGACTGATGGGATGGCGTTGGGCCGCGTTCACACGGGGGCGGAAGAGACGAGCAGATGATGTCGATGATGCAAAAGTTGATTGCCTACTCGACGGACAGGGGTGCGGCGACGGCCAGACGCAGCTTGGGACATGGCACCTGAGCAGGGAAGGCGGGCCACGGCCAGACATGGACAGGGCAAGCCGGGGTAACAGCTTTAACAGCTTGAGGGGTGCCACTGGGGCTGGCGCCGCTGAGGAGCGCGCTGTCGGCCCTGCAAGACCCCGCTGGGACGCCAACCACGCGTCTTGACGTCGCGGCACTGGGGGGGCCTCATTCAGACGCCTGAGCCACAAACTCGGTCGTTGCACCGCACAACGCAGTCCAAGTTGACGGACCAGGCTGAGCTCAAACATTTCAATGTTCCTTCAGTGGATTCTTTGTTCAGGAGCAAAGGATGAGGTGAACGAACGATGCGGCGGCGTGGGCAGGGCGCAGGACGGAGGACGCAGGACCAGATGGCAGAGCCTCATGAGAGGCTCGGCCATTGGAGAGGAAGGAGCAGAAATCCAGCAGCCCGACGAAGTTGGCCTTGGCGCACTTTATCACACACCCTGCCCCTGCCCCGTATCCTCCGTATCTTGGCCCAAAAATTGGAGTCTGACTCTCTCGCTTCCATGTCATCACATGCATCTAGTAACTACTATTGACCCCTCACCTATCAACCCAACAGACGCCACAACGCCGGCGGCCCTGTTTGTCGGGCACACCTACACTCGGATCGGAGAACCCAGTCGTACCAACAAACAGCAGAGGGTTTGAGGCACTGGGCGGAGGCCGATCCGGCACACGCATACTTGACCCCTTTGAGCTTGTCGCTTCTGCTCTGCTACATTTGGGGACAATGCCTTGTCTAATGGCCTCGCCACTTGCTGCCAGATTCATAGCCAGCAAACCGGGTTCGCTCTCTGTCGGCTTTGTTCAGCTTCAACTCCGTGTCAAAGCAGGAACAAGTAAGGACCGCGAGGGGATATTGGCCGTCACAGACAGGGCGATTGAACTGTGTGTGGCTGCCCAGCCCAGACATGGCGAGGCCAACAAGGCTGTTGTCCAAGCTCTCAGCAATGCTATAGGCATCCCCAAATCGCGGTTCCGGTTTGTCAGTGGAATCAAGTCCAGAGACAAGGTAGTGGCCATTGGCGATATCCAAGGCGACGGGCCAGAATATACCGAGACGATTCTACGCTTGCTCCGCGAAGCAAGCCATCGAACCCTTACTCCCTAGTTCTCTCTCTAGTTCTTACCCTCTCCGCCACCAATGAGACGCTAGGGTAACTCGTTCGCCGGTTGACTCAACTGGCCGCGACGTTTGGCAAGTTGGTAAACGGTCTGTTTTGCGAGCATTTATAAACGGTCACCTGGAATCAAGCTGTAAAGGCCCCCTTTCACAGACAGAACGCACAACAAGGGGTTAATTTCCTTGCAGCCGCACTCTCGCCATGTCCAAACCAACATGCACCCTAGCAGCGGTCCGTTTGGACGATGTACCAGAGATTGGCCAGCTCACTGCGGATGCCTTTGTCGATGACCGCCAGACCCAAATGAAAAACCTCGGCAAGGAGCCTTACGACATGAACAAGATGACATTGGAAAGCCTGCCGAGTATGCTGCACAACCCGCGCTGTATTGCCATCAAAGTCGTCGACAAGGACAGCGGAGACATTATGGGTGTGTGCAACTGGGGATTTCGAGGGTTCAAGCCTGAGGAGATGCCAAAGATGGAGGGCAAACCCCTACCCTTGGAGAAGCCTGAAGAGACAAAGGCAGGCCCGGAAGAGAAGAAAGAGCAAGGTGCCACTGACGGAAATGGAAAGGAAAGGCTTGACAAAGAGGAGGAAACGGACCCCATAACAAGACTGCAAGCTCGGACGGGGGCTGATTTGGAGGCATGGATGGAAGAGGTGATGCCAGAAGGAACAAGATGTCTTTTCGTCATTGGCCTGTCGGTTTCCCCCAAGCACCAAGGCCGCGGCGTCGGCTCTGCGCTGTTACGCTGGGGGACCGACATTTGCGACGATCAAGGCGTCTTTGCGTGGGTTCACTCCTCAGAGCCCGCCTGGCCGATGTATGAAAAGTGCGGATTTCAAACCGTACGCTCTCTGGACATTGACTTGGATGAATATGCACCGGCGCCCCCGCCCAACGAGGGACCTAATGCGAAATGGGGGCACTACGTTTTTCGATACATGAAGTACTTTGGAAACAAAGGGGAACCTTGAGCCTCGGGTTCCGTTCGTACTAGGACGACGACTTTGGGATAAATAGCATGCTAGTTGAACATGAGAAACTGCCTCACTTGCCTGGACAATTATATGCCATCGAAGTGTTTATTTGCGCCTAGTTGCACTGGCCTTTTTTTTTTTAACAACAGGGATGTTGTGCCTGCCCGCAGCTTGAAAGCTCACGAGAGCCATCAATGGTCCTATGATGCTCAAACCATTGAAACTGCTTCCGCCTGTTTACCAACTCAAGTACCTAGTTTGAGGTAACTGCCTATAGTTTCCCACAGACTTACTAGCGCCGAAATTGAATTTTGGTCCAGCCCCCGCTGCTCGTGAGTGGCGGCCACACCACCTGCTGAGTTGTATGCCCTCATTTCCGTCGTGGGTCAGAGGGTATTCTATCCCCTCTTAAGCAATATTGACTCCTCCCCTCGACATCGAATCGCGCGTACGCCCCGTTGGCTCAGTGGTAAAGCGTGTCACTAGTAATGACAAGATCACTGGTTCGATTCCAGTACGGGGCAAGCGATTAGAGACTATCTTTTTTGCTTGCTTTTGCAAGTTGACATTGATTGATTGATGACTTGAACTTGTCCAAGGAATGCGTTGAGCAGGCAGGCAGGCACTGGCGGCTTGTGTGCCCTGTCTCCATAATTTTTTTCTTGTTTCCTTTCTTCCGTTGGTGAACGGTGAACGGTGGACGGTGGCCCAAACGGGCAGTTTCTAAAACGGGAAGCGAACTTGCACGTATCTGCATAATAAAACGGCACGACAATTGCACATTTGTTTAAAGAGCGATGCGAATTAGAGTAGTATATGCTTTGAATTCATATTTACTAAGCCATCTTTATCCTGGTCGCTACGACAGAAGATACACAGCATGTCATTTCATTTGTAGTAGGTGCCATACTTGGACTTGCCTTGCACAACGTCGATGAAGTTTTTGGACAAGATCTCTTGCATGCGCTCTGAAGTATGCAGCTCGTCAAACCTGCATTCCTGTTAATGTTTCTTCTTCTTCCGCCACGGAAGGAAATGGTGGTAGGACAATGGTTGACAGATGGATGCGATGCTACGTACCACAAGAAGCTCGACCTGGGATGCTTGGAGTCGACACAGCCGTTGAACAGACACGTGCGGAACGGGGCGACGACATCGGCCGGGGCATCGAGGTAACTCGCAGGGCAGTTGATGACGTCCATGATGAGCGAGTGCGTGTCGAAGAGGGAGACGGAGGCGCCCGGCCAGCGCCGCTTGGCGAGCAGGAACATGGGCCCGCCGTAGTCGTACATGGTGTTGACGCTGGTGGTGTACTGGAGCACCTTGTTGGCGTACTCGGTCGTGTTGTACGCCGTCTTGTTGCTCCAGCCGGGGGTATCGCCCTGGCCGCCCGACTCGGGGGTGGCGTACAGAGGCGCGCGCTCCAGAGGCGCCTGGTTCAGCAGGACGAAGTGGCGGCCGCCGGCGCTGTAGATGCGGTCGAGCACGGTCCAGATGCAGTCTACGTAGGTGGTGATGGTGGTGCCCGCCTTTTGCTTGTCGGCGAGGATGCCGACGATGCCCAGGTCGTTGGTGCCGATCCAGAGCGCGTAGACGGTGTTGTCGGGCCTCCGGCTGGGGTACAGGCCGGGGTAGCGAATGTCCTGCTCAAAGGCAGGGATCTCGTACTCCAGCACCGAGGGGAAGGGGCCGTTGATGGCGTCCAGGTCGCGGGAATCGAAGTTGTTGGTGCACATGGCGCCGGCGACGGCGTAGTTGTAGTAGTTTGCTCCCGTGGCGTTGGCGACGAGCCGTCCCCAGGCGTAGCCGCCGCTCCAGGTGTTGTTGCTTGGGGGCAGCATTTCTCCAATGGGCGGCGCCGCGTGGTGTTGGGCGAAGTAGTTGAAGCGGTTTTCGTCGGTGTAGCTGTCGCCAAAGGTGACGAGGTTCTCCATGCTGTTGCTGCCGCTGCGGACATGGAACGACGTTGGGCTGGAAATGGCCCGTAGAGCCATGGACAGCAGGGTGAGAAGCATGATTACCATGATGGGCAAGAAGAAGGGTTACTCGTGGGAGCAACGATTACTGTTTCAATGTTTCAATGTTCCAAAGGCAAGGGGCCAGGGTTGTGAATATTCCCACGCACGAGCAAGAGCGTTTCATCGGCCGTTGCAACAGGCTGTGGCCATGTACTTGTAATATAATGAGACACATGAGCCTCCATCTCGCCATGGCCGAAAACGAGGGCAGGCCATGTTTTGCTGCAGATGCCACGAGGCACGTCTGACGCATTGCACGAGGATTGCGCCATTGACGCATCGGCCCGGTCACTGCGCCTGTGCGGGAAACAACGGCCACGACTTGGTGATGGACTCATGGAGCGTGGCGGGCAGTTCATCGGCCAGATCGGGATTCCGGACGCCCGTCGCGGACAACAAGGCATGAATTACCGCTGATGCGAGCGAATCACGGCCGCAGCGGGCCAAGGACCGAGAATTCACGGCGCACGTCTCGACGGATTCGTAAAGGAAGGGGCCCAAGGACAAGACATGCATTAACGTGATGCAATACGACACCAGAATCTGGAGTCTAGACGTGGACGCAATAAAGCCAAGTCTTTGGCGGCTGCGAAAACGGCCTTGGCCATGTCTCGGCGTGGGCCGCCGAGGAATCGACCAGACCAGACATTTGTCGCATGAACGGACGGGACGGGCCTCTGTTTTGTCTTTGGTTTTTGCACCGCATACCGTATATCCGGTCAAGTACGGAGTAGTAGTCATTTCCGTACGACCGCCATGAGAGTCGACTTGGATGACGGGCCAGCGTCCGTGGACGATTTGGCAGAATGGAATGAAATGCTGGTCTTGTGAGATGGTGCCACTCACTATCCGGCAGGCAGGATAAGTTTTTATCCAGTTGCACAACTGGGCCATGGTTGCAAAATGCACAAGTCAACATGCATGCTGGATTATTATTGGAGCAGCGCCGCTACCCTTGTTTATCCCAGAGTCTGGTATTTTATATTGTAAATTTGTACGGCTGGCACAAGCTGCAGCTTTAGTCACCCGTAAGATTACTAATATAAATTGGGTTAATTTCAATCATTTATGCATGATAGCTAGCCTGAAGCGAAATTTATCCTGGGCATAAATCATGTAGCTAGAGACCTCGGTTCAGCCACTACAAGGTTTCATCGCGTTGCTACATATGTAGGCCCTTTGCTGTTGCAGTGATGAGCCTTCAAATGTCTTGCAAACACTTGCATGGACACTATAAGCCGTTTTGGTCTGGTGATTGAAAGCATGGTATGGGTTAGAGCAAAGAAAAAAACACCGACGACTGCCAGTTTACCGTCGGTAACATACACCGCACTTGTTACCATCATCATCAAATGTTGGATTCGGCAGACATGAAAGCACCTTCCCTTCTCATACGACTGACCCGATGGTGCCATGGCGTCTGTGCCGTGTCGAGGGTGCCAGAAGAAGGACATATTCACGCCACTGAGCTCGACAGTCCATTAGATCTGGAAAACCCATGAGAGTGATAGAGACTGAGCGGCCGATACACGATTTGAGCATTGCAACGCTGGCGTAACTAATATTTAGCTCAAACCTTGCTTGACGGAGCGGAGAGCTGGAGTCGAATTGGTGTACGAGGACCTGGAAGAAGCAGCAACGCCCATGAAAGATCTGGCGCTTGTAATATGTCTCATGAACAAAGATGCTCATGTTCTTTTCTAGTCTCTTGAAGCGACGTCGCTCGAAGCTTTGCTAAGTTGCTGATGATGGAGGGATTGGCCTATCTGGTTTCGACATGGAAAACCATACAGCGGTGCTTTTTGTGAGGGTACCTGCAGACGAGGCGATCAAGTGGGTTTTATTCAAGCGCGACTTTGACCAAGATGTCAACTCTCGCAGCAACAGCAGCAACGGCAGCGATACTTGTACACGCAGCTTGGCGGGATAAAGCGGCAGTTAAGCTCGGGAACTGGGAACAGGCATTCAACAACCTTATCTATATGCATATGCGAAATCTTGGCTGCCTTGGGAAAAGCAAAACAAAGGTAAGAAAAGGCGATCGATTGGCTGGATGACACGGCAAATCATGGGAGCCATGCCCAGGCTGTGTTTCGGACGGTATGAGTTGGATGAGAGCAATGGCCAACGCTGTTGGAACATTCAAAGTCAACACCTTGTTCCATGCGCTCATCCATCCAAGCATGACCCAAGCTCCATCAACGCGGAAGCAGAGCAGAAGCTTCAGACAACTAGTCCAGGGTCCACCACCACCCACATGACGCCGGCACGCCAGATCCAGAAAGTTCACATCACATCACTTGCGGGGCTTTTAGCACTCGGCCTCGGTGCCGTTGCTCATCCTGCATCTGTCATCGAGAGGCTTAGCTGTTACATGGGCGTTTACTCCGTGCCCCGCATGGTCCCTGGATGGATGTTTGGTCTCCTGAGATGAGGCTTATAAAAAGCCCAGCGGCTCCCATTGTCCCTGCCCGTCACATCCCTTCTCATCATTCACGCATACCACCAAGCTTTCGTCAGTATATCCACGTTACGTTTGTTCCATCTCAGCGACAATGGGTTGGTTTGATAGTGAGCATCTCCAACTCCTATCTGCAGTGCCAAGGGCATCTTGTAGTCGAAACAAAGCTAACCAGTGCTCAAGATGACTCCGATCAGGCACAGGCTTACGACCAGGTGACGAACCGTCCCCACGAAGCCAAGTGGTCTCACGAGCTCATCGGCGGTGCTGCCGCCTTCGAGGCCGCCAAAGCGTATGAGGATCATGTTGCCCGTAACGGTATGTCCGGAATAGTCGGCGTGCATCTGACCACACCGATCCGCGTGGATAATGCTAATACTCGAGCTTGACAGGCCACCCTGACGACCACGCCACGGCCAAGGAGATCCTTGCCGGTGCCATTGGCTTCTTCGTGGACCGCGAGGTCGAGACCAAGGGTTTGGACTACATTGATCGCGAGAAGGCCAAGCGCCATGCCCAGCAGCAGGCTGAGCAGGGACTGAGCAGCGAGGGTCGATGGTAGTGGATGTTTTTCCATCGATGAGAGGAGGGCAGTGCAATGTACAGTGTATACACACACACGATTAGATGACCTGCGTGTACAGAGTATAGCTGTAGTGAATGCACTTTACCATTGTTCATGTGAGACAACCGCATCGGGACGAACCACCACCGCTCCTGGCCAACCCCGTGCCACCCCGCGATGACGATATTGGTGTTCAGCTCGTAGGTGAGACGCACAGATGTCATGCGTTCCAAGGAACCACCTCAAGCACCTCAAGAGGGCGGGTTCCTTAGCATCGGCGACGCCACCTACACCCTGAGAGCAAATGGCGTTGAGAAAGCATGACAGGATGCTGAAGAGTTGAGGTGCGGTTGGTTCGTCGGGAAGGCGATGCCGAGAGGTGAGTTTTGAGCAGGGTGCATGCAGGGTGCGGGCGGGCCTGCGGGGCCGTCTCCAGCCGCTCTGGTAGGCCGGTGCCTTTGCATCTGGAGGAGGGAACCGAGATGAACCCCTGTTGACCCTGCCGCATTTCCGATAATAGTGGGGTCTGGAGCTGTGGCGGTGTAAGGTTGAGGCAGGAGCCAGCTGAATTAATGCCATCAATTGATTGATCATTCACCCCAAAGTGGTACTGCCGGCGTTCTTTTTAATAGGCAGTTTTATCCAATGGTATCCTGCCATCCCGTATTCTATCTGTAGATACTGGCATGTACTACAATGAGCCGGATGCGGAGAGCGCGGGGATTTTATAAGCGACATTCGCAGCTGGACAAAAAATAGCACCAGTCGACTCAATTCTCGACGGCTGTGGCGGCTAATGAAGACGCTGGCGATGCAACAAGACGGCGCAGATGGGTTCGCTTATCCCCATGGCATGGTAGCTTTTGCACTGAGGCAGAAAGTGCGCAGTTGTCAAGTGTATCACAAATGAAACGAATCCAACGCTACTGCTTAGATGTATGTATCGACGGCTTGTTCCGGAATGTGGCACAACGAAAAGGCCTCAACTGGCTGGGTCCACCAACCAACACCAGACCACTTACACGACATGTGAGGCGGCCACAGTCACGCAACTCCCTGGGTACCTAGGTAGTTGCGTGGCTGATTGGAAATAATGTACTCTGACGTGCTTCGAAACCGCTGTGACTCGGGGCAAACTGCTCTGTGTCGTAAAGAACCCGGGCCAAGTTGGGCTATTGTACATAACTATATACTGCCCAACATTGACTCAACAACCAAGGTGTCTTGGGGGAATACACTTTAGCTTTCAACATGCCATGTCGTGTGGACTGCCATTGCTGAACTGGATTGAAATTATTGCTACGAGCACAACTAGGTGTGCAGGGGCAGTTTATTCAACGGCAACAGAATTCAATGGCTCATGATGATGATTATAAGAGAGAAAGTGCGAATCTCAGGGCTTTGGGAAAGGAGCAACATCATCATCAATGTTCAATGGCAGGCTATCCAGCTCGTCGTTACACTGCAAAAGAAAATCAGTCCACACTGCTACAGTTGGAATAAACAAGATGAAGGTTTCTTTTTAGTGGGTTTGACGCATCGCGATGCGTGTACTGTTTTTTGAATTGTGTGTTACTGTTGAATTAGCCAGGTACGACTCTCGATTGTGTTACTAGTGGGTCCTGGTGATTAGCTAGCCTTTTTTTTTTATTTTTTTCATAATAATTTAATGAAGGTTTCTTTTTTTTTTACCTGACCTGTCATTTTCTTACCAACGCGGACTGGCAACTGTGTACGCTACGGAATACTCCCAAAGCATACCGGACCGTGTACTCTGTGTCATTTTGGTTACAGTCGGCGGTAGAATATGTTTGCCTAATCATTAATTATAGTAATGTGCTACAGTATATCATAGCATAGGGCGTGCTAATCAGGTCCCAGATCTGGTTATATGCTTCCTGCCTCTCGCCACAACGAGGGCCCAACGGGAGATTCATGCGAACCACGAATGATGCCATCGACTATCAAGCGGGGACACACGATTCACACAATGAGTCTGCTACTCTAGCTTATTCTGCTGTGCTCACACACACAAAAGAAGATGGAAACCACGGCATCAAATTTCCTCCTTGTTCCCCCCGTCTACTGCGTGCTTCTCAGCAGCCCTCACCTTGCGGATAAACTTTTTATATCGGTTGTGCACGTGGGTTTCGTGGCATGCGATGATAAACAGGGCAATGTGGACGAATCTGAAACCGTTAGCCGGACTTGCTCGATGCCAACGGATGCCGGCAGCACCAACGCTTCAATAGTTGCCAGAACAACAGCCATCTGGACCAGGACAAAGTTGGCGCCGCCGTAGTACCTCTCGGCCATGTTGGTGTCCCATGTCGACCACGTCGCGGCCATCATGACGGCAACGGCGCCGAACCCCAGCCAAACGATGAGGTCGATGCCGACGCGAGTTCCCGGGTGAATGTCTTGCCCGTTTTTGCGAAAATATCGAACCAGAATCATGGCCACATTCCAGATCAGAGTTGCACCGGCCTGCCTGCCGTTAGAAGAAACACTTTGCCGAGCGGCGGCCAGTTTTGGGAGAGGGGATACTTGCGGGTGAAAGTAGAATGATGATGACGCCTGGGACATCGCCGAGCTTGATTCCCACCCCGATGAGGATTGTGCAGATGGCCGCGGATAGTAAACGGATCCAAAGCTTGACCGTCTGCAGTCCTTCTGGCGTCGTGCGCAGTGTGTAGGCTGGGGGAGGGACAGGCTGAGACTTTTCCACCATGTTGATGTCTGCCTCTGTTTTGTTCGCCATGGGGGTAATTAGTAAAAGTGCAGATGGGAAAGAAGTCCGATTCTATATCGGCGCCTGGTCTATCGGGGTAACGAATCGCGCCAAGTTCCTTATATATGTGTGCAGCATATGTATCTCGTGTCGATCAAGTTGCGTGGATTCAGAGGCACCACAAAGGTCTCACGTTTGCCACCTTGGTCCCTCGTAAAACGGCTAGCTGGCTGGCTGGCTAGCAAGGTGTCTCGGCATGAATCAAGTGAGTATGTAGAATGGCAGTGCAGTGCCTTCTTCCCGCCCTTCTCTGTTGTGCGTTGCCAAGTGAGTTTATTTCTGTGTGCAACTCGACTTGTAAGTGATGCGCCACGCGGACGGGCCGCAATGACAAAGGCATGATTAAGGTTAGTTCATCGGCATTTTCTCCTCAAGTGCTGGCATGTAGGATTGAACATGGCTAGATCAAGTATCAGCTTACGCGGCTTTGCAAGCGCATTGGACTTGCCAATACGAGAGTGGAGTTGTCGCGTTTCCACCGAGTCATTATCAATTGGCCGAGTCGATGTCTTTGAGCCTTTGAGGACGGCCGACATTGAGCCAAGCAAGGATTTCTGACGTAGTTGGAACCGTCCTTGGGCGCCCAAAAGAGGCGCTTGCAGACCGACCGCGTGTGCCATTGCGAATCCGCTCGCGGGCGCCTCCACCGGTGTCGTTTGAGGTTGTGCGCGATATCACTCGAGAGTCGAGTGGGTGTTTTGGGGGTTTGCTAACTTTGGTTTAACAAGACATGTGCCCCGGGGACCAGACACGAACAAAAGATGAAGTGTCGTGTCTTGGGGCTGCGCCGGAAGATGAAGAGTTCATGTTGCGTTTATTCATGTAACTACTAACCGGCGTAACTGGCATCATGAATCCGTACTTGATCGCCCTTGGACAGGCATTCCTCGCCGTCCTGCTGTTTGTTCAGCTCGGGCTCACTGGCTATGGTTTGTAACCTATTTGACCGTGGACAAAGTTGCCGCCGCTGACACTTTTGGAAATCAAGCGACCAGCTTAGAAAGTGGCCTTGAAGGAAGCCAGCCGTCGAAATCGATTCTGTTCATGCTCGGCAACACCGTCTGGTCCATCCTCGCCCTGGCCTTTATTTCCATCACGCCGCTCGTGTTATCGTATGCGCTGCACAACCTCGTGGCCTTGCTGTTACTGGCAGTCACGACGATAGTGTGGCTGGGCGGCTCCATAGCCATTGCGTCGATACTTCGCGATCTTTTTGAGAATCGCAAGAGCATATACGCCATATCGCAGCCCATTGTTGCATTCAGCTTCTTCATCTGGGCGACGTTTGCCACTCTCATGTCGCTAGAGGTGGTTGGCTTGTTGAAAGGGGCGTACAGGAATGGCGAGCAGGAGATGATGGACTTGGGGGAATTCGACGAGAGCGAAATTAGAAACGCGCTTCGATGACGGCTTGAAGCGTACATGGCACTGCAAGACGGGACTGTAAAATAGGCTGGTTTTGTTTCTTTTCATACCAAAAATTATGTAGGCGCAAGTGATTTATTTTTTGTGTTTCATGTGCCCAATGTCCAACAGTCGACGGAAGGAGCATCTCCGTATCTTCTTCTTGGCAGTTGCCTGACTTTGCTTCATTATGCATAGCTCCCCGTGAGTGAGAGGCCCTGTTTTTACCGTCCTCGACTCCCACGTCTCATGTTTCGCGCTTCGCTCCCTCGCCGACGCTGAGAGACACATCATGTCGCCCATTTCACTGAATCAGAGTCTGAAAAGGCACAAAGACAATGGCCAGGACCGGATGAAACGAATCCTGGCAACAACATGCGGCCCATCGCCAAAGACAAGTTGCCTCTTGGCCCGGCCCGCAGCTGAAATGGCGCACTCGGTGTCCGACTAGGCAAAAGGTCCTTTCAGCCCATGGACTCTAGAGGCAAAACCTTGATGCATCGCAGCTACCAGCAACGTGGTCGCCGGGCTTTATCCCGCATCTTGGCCTAGTTTATCTCTGCGGGGAGGGTGGAGGCAGATGCTTGGCATTGGCAGCGGTCATGGTGTAGATGCTGGTACATACATACATATGTCGATACATTTTTCAAAATTTGACTCCAAATCTAGTCGTCTTGGCCCTTGGCGGCCGTCCGCCTAGAATCACCGAATCGGACACCGGCCAAGCCAGACGACGAGACAGTTGACACACTCACCAACCATGCCCAGCTTGGCTTGGGTAGTTGTCGCCAGTGGTCACGGC